TAATGTTGTCAGAAATACCTACCTCTGTGAGGGGAGATACAGGGCACTGAAGACGCACTGGCTATGAAAGAACTTCAGCTGATTCACGACAATTCTCCCCCAGATGATCTGATTATCTATCCAGATGGTTCGATGTTGAGAGGCAAGAGAAGTGCTTGGGAGTTCGTAGCTAAAGCCAATAAAAAATCTTTACTGCAGGACAGCCTAGTATACGATACCACAACATCTAGCATGAGGATGGAGGTGGAGGCGGTCACTGCTGCTTTCCGGTGGCTAGAAAACTAGATGCATACACATGTCCTAAATGTAACAAACTCTGAAATCATGCTGAGAAAGTTGAAGACAGGGATGCTTCGAGCAGAGTGGCAAGCTTTACTGGAAAGGTCAGGGATAGTGAACATACTTTTGGTCTTTTCTCCAGGTCATGCAGACGTGGTGGGAATGAACAGGCAAAATAAACTAAGAATGATCCAGATTTGCTGTATCTGCATCACTTGGTAGTTAATTGATACATGGCAAGGAAGATGTGGCCACGCCCCTTTGGGAAATAGCAACTGAGTCTGAAGCGAAACAAAATCATTATGGCCTGGACAAAGTGAGGCACTTGGGTGTAGCCAGAGGGTCTGGCCAGCTCACTACACTCAGAAGAAAGGCAAGACGGGCACATAACCAGATTACGACTGGTAACATTAGTACTGAAATGCGCTAGCTGCTGAAAATGAGGACGGAGCACGCATGGTAATGCCCCGAGTGCTGTAATATACATTTTTGACTCAACTCAACTCTGGCTGTGAAAGCACTCAGGGCTGGAGAACTGGCTACAGAAAGAGACGTTTCACCGTGCCGTGAAGTCAAAGACGTCCTGAGAGACTTGTCGTCGCGCTATAAATTCAGATACGTCCTGAGAGACTTGTCGCCGTGATGTGAAGTCAGATACGTCCTGAGAGACTTGTCGCCGTGACGTGAAGTCAGAGACGTCCTGAAAAGATGTGCTGACTGACTGACGGTCAGAAATTATGACTGGCTCTTTCTGATGTTTCTGACAAGTTGTCTACAACCTGACAGCGACATAGGCGCATATTGGGCGGCAAACTAAGGCACTCTGCAGAGAATGTTAGAGTATAAATAAACGCAGTCTGGCAAGCTCAGATGGTTTGGATGATACAGGCGTTTATTACCTGAAGAGGATGTTTACAATGTGGTAGTGGTCTTGGAAGTACTCTGATTAACAGTAGCTGCTGCAGCAGCAGCTAAAGCAGCAGTAGCAGCAACAGTAGTAGTACCACCAGCAGCAGTAGTAGCAGCAGCAGTAGTAGCAGCAGCAACAGCAGCAGCAGCAGCCGAAATAAAAAGAAGAAGAAAGCAAGAAGAAGAAGAAGAAGAAGCAGAAGAAGAAGAAGAAAGAGAAGAAGAAGAAGAAGAAGAAGAAGAAGAGAAGAAGAAGAGAGAAGAAGAAGAAGAAGAAGAAGAAGTGAAGAAGAAGAAAAGTAGAAGAAGAATAGGAAGAAGAAAGAAGCGAAGAAGAAGAAAGAAGAAGGAAGAAAGAAAGAAAGAAGAAGAAAGAAGAAGAAGAAGAAGAAGAAGAAGAAGAAGAAGAAGAAAAAAGAAGAAGAAGAAGAAGAAGAAGAAGAAGAAGAAGAAAAGAAGAAGAAGAAGAAGAAGAAATAAGAAGAGAAGAAAGAAGAAGAAGAGAAGAAGAAGAAGAATGAAAGAAAAAGAAGAAGAAGAAGAGAAGAAGAAGAGAGAAGAAGAAGAAGAAGAAGAAGAAAGAATGAAAGAAGAAAAAGAAGAAGAAAGAGAAGAAAGAAGAGAAGAAGAAGAAGAAGAAGAAGAAGAAGAAGAAAGAAGAAGAAGAAGAAAAGAAGAAGAAAGAAGAAGAAGAAGAAGAAGAGAAGAAGAAGAAGAAGAAGAAGAAGAGAAGAAGAAGAAGAAGAAGAAAAGAAGAAGAAGAAGAAAGAACGAGAAGAAGAAGAAGAGAAGAAGAAGAAGAAGGAAGAAGAGAAGAAGAAAGAAGAAGAAAAGAAGAAGAAGAAGAAGAAGAAGAAGAAGAGAAGAAGAAGAAAAAAGAAGAAGAAGAAGAAGAAGAAGAAAGAAAGAAGAAGAAGAAGAGAGAAGAAGAGAAGAAAAGAGAAGAAGAAGAAGGAAGAAGTAAGAAGAAGAAGAAGAATGAAGAAGAAGAAGAAGAAGAAGAAGAAGAAGAAGAAGAAGAAGAAAGAAGAAGAAGAGAGAGAAGAAGAAGAAGAAGAAAGAAGAAGAAGAAGAAGAAGAAGAAGAAAGAAGCAGAAGAAGAAGAAGAAGAAGAAGAAGAAGAAAGAAGAAGAAGAAGAAGAAAGAAGAAGAAGAAGAAGAAGCAGAAGAAAGAAAGAAGAAGAAGAAAAGAAGAAGAAGAAGAAGAAGAAGAAGAAAGAAGAAGAAGAAGAAGAAGAAGAAGAAGAAGAAGAAGAAAGAAGAAGAAAGAAGAAAAGAAGAAGAGAAGAAGAAGAAGAAGAAGAGAAGCAGAAGAAGGCAGAGAAGAGAAGAAGGAAGAAAGAAGAAGAAAAGAAGAAGAAGAAGAGAAGAAGAAGAAGAAGAAGAAGAAGAAGAAGAAGAAGAAAAGAAAAGAGAAGAAGAAGAAAGAAGAAGAAGAAAGCAAGAAGAAGAAGAAGAAGAAGAAAGAAGAAGAAGAAAAGAGAGAGAAGAAGAAGAAGAAAGAAGAAGAAGAAGAGGAGAGAAGAAGAAAGAAGAAGAGAAGAAGAAGAAGAAGGAAGAAGAAGAAGAAGAAGAAGAAAGAAGAAGAAAGAAGAAAGAGAAGAAGAAAGAAGAAGAAGAAGAAGAAGAAGAAGAAGAAAGAAGAAGAAGAAGAAGAAGAAGAAGAAAGAAGAAGAAGAAGAAAGAAGAAGAAGAAGAAGAAGAAGAGAGAAAGCAGAAGAAGAAAGAAGAAGAAAAGAAGAAGACGAAGAAGAAGAAGAAGAAAGAAGAGAAAGAAAGAAGAAGAAGAAGAAGAAGAAGAAGAAGAAGAAAGAAGAAGAAGAAGAAGAAGAAGAAGAAGAAGAAGAAAGAAGAAGAAGAAGAAGAAGAAAGAAGAAGAAGAAGAAGAAGAGAAGAAGAAGAAGAAGAAGAAGAAGAAGAGAGAAGAAAAGAAGAAGAAGAAGAAGAAGAAGAAAGAAAGAAGAAGATTAGAAGAAGAAGAAGAAAGAAGAAGAAGAAGAAGAAGAAGAAAGAGAAGACAGAAGAAGAGAAGAGAGAAGAAGAAAGAAGAGAAAGAAGAAGAAGAAGAAGAAGAAGAAGAGAGAAGAAGAAGAAGAGAGAAGAGAAGAAGAAGAAAGAAGAAGAAGAAGAAGAAGAAGAAGAGAAGAAGAAGAAAGAAGAAGAAGAAAGAAGAAGAAGAAGAAGAAGAAGAAAGAAGAAGAAGAAGAAGAAGAAGAAGAAGAAAGAAGAAGAAGAAGAAGAAGAAGAAAAGAAGAAGAAAGAAGAAGAAGAAGAAGAAGAAAGAAGAAGAAGAAGAAGAAGAAGAGAAGAGAAGAAGAAGAAGAAGAAAGAAGAAGAAGAAGAAGAAGAAGAAGAAGAAGAAGAAGAAGAAGAAGAAGAAGAAGAAGAAGAAGAAGAAGAAGAAGAAGAAGAAGAAGAAGAAGAAGAAGAAGAGAGAAGAAGAAGAAGAAGAAGAAGAAGAAGAAGAGAAGAAAGAAGAAGAAGAAGAAGAAGAAGAAAGAAGAAAGAAGAAGAGAAGAAGAAGAAAAGAAGAAGAAGAAGAAGAAAGAAGAAAGAAGAAGAAGAAGAAGAAGAAGAAGAAGAAGAGAGAAGAAAAGAAGAAGAAGAAGAAAGAAGAAGAAAGAAGAAGAGAGAAGAAGAAAGAAGAAGAAGAAGAAGAAGAAGAAGAAGAAGAAGAAGAAGAAAGAAGAAGAAGAAGAAGAAGAAGAAGAAGAAGAAGAAAGAAGAATAAGAAGAAAGAAGAAGAAGAAGAAGAAGAGAAGAAGAAGAGAGAAGAAGAGAAGAAGAAGAAGAAGAAGAAGAAGAAAGAAGATAGCGAAGAAGAAGAAGAAGAAGAAAGAAGAAGAAGAAGAAAGAAGAAGAAGAAGAAGAAGAAGAAGAAGAAGAGAAGAAGAAGAAGAAAGAAGAAGAGAAGAAGAAGAGAGAAAGAAGAAGAAGAAGAGAGAAGAAGAAGAAGAAGAAGAAAGAAAAGAAAGAAGAAGAGAAGAAGAAAGAAGAAGAAGAAGAAGAAGAAGAGAAGAAGAAGAAGAAAGAAGAGAGAAGAAGAAAGAAGAAGAAGAAGAGAAAGAAGAAGAAGAAGAAGAAGAGAAAAAGAAAAGAAGAAAAGAAGAAAGAAAGAAGAAGAAGAAGAAGAAGAAGAAGAAGAAGAAGAAGAAGAAAAGAAGATAAAGAAGAAGCAGAGAAGAAGAAGAAGAAAGAAAGAATCCGAAGAAGAGAAGAAGAAGAAGAAGAGAAGAAGAAGAAGAAGAAGAAGAAGAAGAAAGAAGAAGAAGAAAGAAGAAGAAAGGAAGAATCTGAAGATCCTTCCTAGAAGAAGAAGAAGAAGAAGAAAGAAGAAGAAGATATGACGAAGAAGAAGAAGAAGAGAAGAGAGAAGAAGGAAGAAGAAGAAAGAAGAAGAAGAAAGAAGAAGAAGAAGAGAAGAAGTAAAGAATCAGAAGAAGAAGAAGATCCTAAGAAGAAGAGAAGAAAGAAGAAGAAGAAGAAGAAGAAGAAGAAGAAGAAGAGAAGAAGAATGAGAAGAGAGAAGACGAAGAGAGAAGAAGAATGAGAGAAGAAGAAGATACGAAGAAGAAGAAGAGAAAAAAGACAGAGAAGAAGAAGAAAAGATTCCGCCTCCTACCCTACCTTCCTCCTCCTCCCCTTTGTTCAAGAAGAGAAGCCGAATCCTCTGCACTCCTCCTCTCCGACAGAAAAGAAGACGTCGAGATCATCATAGAAGAAGAAGGAAGAAGAAGACGATTCGAAAATTATGCTGATGAAATATAAATCATATGTCTATGATTAGGTTAGGAACTACTAAGTTAACCCACCTCTAAAAATTCCCCAAACTGCAACCTGATGTCCTCATCAGAGCATGTTGCCAGCTGTGCTTGCAGTTTCTTGATCGTATTCTTGATCTGGCTAAATTCGGTCTTCAAAGTTTCTAATGTAAACCTGGCAAAGTACATAAGGACACCAAATTGTCAAAATAACTTAAGGAAGGAAACGAATTATTTTGTTTATCACCATCATCGTCAGGATCATCGTCACTATCACCATTATTATTACCATCCTTATTAACACCCTCAACATCATCATAAACTTATCATCATCGTTGTCGTCGTCACCATCAATCATCCTGTTTTTGTTATTGTTTTTGTTATTGTTGTTGGTGATGTTGTTGGTGATGTTGTTGTTGTTGTTCTTTTTCTTCTTTTTCTTCTTCTTCTTCTTCTTCTTCTTCTTCTTCTTCTTCTTCTTCTTTCTTCTTCTTTTCTTCTTCTTCTTCTTCTTCTTCTTCTTCTTCTTCTTCTTACTTCTTTCTTCTTCTTCTTCTTCTTCTTCTTCTTCTTTCTTCTTCTTCTTCTTTCTTCTTCTTCTTCTTCTTCTTCTTCTTCTTCTTCTTCTTCTTCTTCTTTCTTCTTCTTCTTCTCTTCTTCTCTTCTTCTTTTTTTGTTTTCCTTTTTTTTTTTAGATTCTTCTTCTTTGTCGTTCTTCTATTTCTCCGCTTATAATCATCATCATCATCATCATCATCATCATCATCATCACCACCACCACAAATTATAGTTTTGATAAAGGGTTGCTATTATCACTCGCTACAGGAGCACAGAGCCGATCCATTATTATGGTGATCGTGTGAGAGAAAAGCAAGAAGGACATATAATCAGAATGTTACCAACGCCATGAGAACTAGAATTCTTTGCTGACTGCTGAAGACGAGGAGAGAACGCGTATGGGAACACTACGAGTGCTGTGATGTCGGTTTTTTTTACGGAGCTCTACTGTCTGTGACTTCAATTTTCTTGTCTTACACGAGTCCTCCGTGGCGCTGTGGTAAAGCCGTTTGTCTCGCTGCGAAGGTTGTGTGCTAGTTTTCTGCAATGCATCGTTTGGTTTAAAAGTGCACATCCCCCCCCCCTCCCCCCTACCCACCCAATAGCTCTCCTGTTTGACGAGATCCCCTGGACCCCATTTTTGCGACACTTTTTTTTTTAAATTCCCCAAGGCTCCCCCGCCCCCCTCCCATTTTCTGCATCCCAATCCCACCCTTTTCCCAGGATTGTAGTCTGTAGGATTAACATTTCCCACGAGGCTCCATTCTGGAGAACAAAGAATAGACCCCATGCCATTAACAAGCATGTCCTAAGAAACGGCTAATCGCACAGGTACCAATTTTGGAAACCGACTTCAACTTTTATATCCCCCCGTGTGGGTTCGACTAATTGGGGAGCTTCCTTTGAAGTCGGAGAGATTCTGCCGGAGGGTCAAGGAACCAACAGTCTGTATTCAAGAGAATTAGATTGGTAAAACTGATGCACACGCAACACTCAGGTTCTGGAGCAGGACTGCAGTTTAGTAGTGGACGAGCAACCAGAACTTTCCGCCAGAGTGTACAGCTGGTGAACGCGCAGAAGAAGAAGAAGAAGAAGAAGAAGAAGAAGAAGAAGAAGAAGAAGAAGAAGAAGAAGAAGAAGAAGAAAAAGGAGAAGAACTTTTATATTGGGGCAGCACAAAATAGTTACGATGCAAACTGCCTTCCAGGCTGGGGTGATAAAATATATTGTCATAGTAGTAGTAGATTTTTACCCCATAAGGACATCACTTAAGCGAGAAACACCCTATGACACAAAGTGCCTCCATGCGGATGAGGATCACCCGTGGAGAGGTCCCAAAAACCGCGTTCAGCCATTAGACTATATTTATGGTCACACTATATTGCGGCCCCTGGCGAGAGCCAGGGTGGGGCTTCAAAATAGAGAAAACTTCAGCTCACAAGGAAATGGCAGTACATATATTTATTTTGTTTTGTCTCATTGACTGACTGACTGACTTTCTACCCCACCAGGACATCACACAAGCGATAAACACCCGATGACACAAAGTGCCACCATATGGATGAGGATCGCCGTGGAGAGGTCCCAGAAACCGCGTTCAGACATTTGGCCATATTTATGGCCTGCCTATATTGCGGCCCCTGGCAAAAGCCAGAGTGGGGCTTCAAATAACAAAAAATTTCGTCCTAAAAAGGACGAAACTGGATATTGTCTCATTGACTGGCTGGCTGGCTTTTTACCCCACCAGGACATCACACAAGCGATAAACACCCGATGACACAAAGTGCCACCATGCGGATGAGGATCACCGTGGAGAGGTCCCAGAAACCGCGTTCAGACATTTGGCCATAATGATGACCTGCCTATATTGCGGCCCCTGGCAAAAGCCAGAGTGGGGCTTCAAATAACAAAAAATAACGTCCTAAGAAGGACGTAAGTAATAGAGAGGTCTCATTGACTGACTGACTGACTTTCTACCCCACTAGGACATCACACAAGCGATAAACACCCGATGACACAAAGTGCCATCATGCGGATGAGGATCGCCGTGGAGAGGTCCCAGAAACCGCGTTCAGACATTTGGCCATATGTATGGCCTGCCTATATTGCGGCCCCTGGCAAAAGCCAGAGTAGGGCTTCAAATGACAAAAAATTTCGTCCTGAAGAGGACGAAACTGGCTAATAATGTGTAAGGTCTCATTGAAGTCAGTCACTTTGCAAAAGCGATTCAACTGGCAATTAATTCGACCCCTCGAATTTAAAATGCTATGTTTCTAACATTACACACATTTGTCACCTGGAGGTCTTATGAAGGTCATCCTGCATTTTATCCACAAATTCCAGAGCCGTCTTGTCCTTGGCCTCCGCCTCCTCGACCAGCACGTGCAGGAGCGACTTCTTGGGGTCGTTAGACTTCGTGAGGCTCAGCTTGTTGAGGGAGCTTATTCGAAAGCCGACAGCGTCTCCTGCATTACTTCCCTGGATGGAATTTACAAGCTTGTTAGAATAACTGACTCCCAGGATTGAATCAACGCTTTCCGTGTGGATTTCATATCTATATTTGGTAGGGGCGGGGGGGGGGGGGGGCGGGGGGGGGGATAGACAAAATATAACAAACATGTCGCAAGAGGCGACTAATTGAGGGGCGTAACACGAAAAATGTAACTAGGTATTTGCATTAGAATCCGTTGGTATAATCAAGATAAGGAGATAACTGAGATGGTAAACGTCCTCTCAAGAGGAAAGTTGAAGATTGAAAGAGGCGGGAGGGAGCAGGAGAGATGTGACGTAGTTTGGTATCAGGGTAAGGGGCAACAAGTATGTCGTAGTGGTCGACTAACAGGGGACATCCTTCGAAGTTGAAGTACATCTGCCTGATTGGAAGGCACCAAAAGTCTGCATAAAATAAGCCAGATCTTAAAACTGATGTGCACGCAACATTCAAATTCTGCGAGACTAAATCCAGATGTGGACGAACACTCAGATCTTTTCGCTGGAGTTTACAGTCGATACACGCGAAGAAGAGGAAGAAGGAAAAAGTATACCTAGGTGATGTTCCAAGAGGAAAAAGGACAAAATATACCTAGGTGATGTTCCAAGAGAAAGAAGGACAAAATAAGCCTAGGTGATGTTCCAAGAGGAAGAAGGACAAAATATACCTAAGTGATGTTCCAAGAGGAAGAAGGACAAAATATACCTAGGTGATGTTCCAAGAGGAAGAAGGACAAAATATACCTAGATGATGTTCCAAGAGAAAGAATGACAAAATATACCTCAGTGAGGTTCCAAGAGGAAGGAGGATAAAATATACCTAGGTGATGTTCCAAGAGAAAGAAGGACAAATATACCTCAGTGATGTTCCAAGAGGAAGAAGGACAAAATATACCTAGATGATGTTCCAAGAGAAAGAAGAACAAAATATACCTACATGACGTTCCACGAGGAAGAAGGACAAAATATACCTAGATGATGTTCCAAGAGGAAGAAGGACAAAATATACCTAGATGATGTTCCAAGAGGAAGAAGAACAAAATATACTTAGGTGATGTTCCAAGAGAAAGAAGGACAAAATATACCTAGGTGATGTTCCAAGAGGAAGAAGGACAAAGTATACCTTGGTGATGTTCCAAGAGAAAGAAGGACAAAATAAACCTAGGTGATGTTCCAAGAGGAAGAAGGACAAAGTATACCTTGGTGATGTTCCAAGAGAAAGACAATTGATCCGTGCCGTCTCCGCTATGAAGGTTGACTACAGTCTACCCAGTCTTGTCTTTGCGAATATAACACAAGGAGACTCCAATCTCTTCCACATTGTTGTTCTCGTACCACCATCTAACAATCACGAACATTGTTTCTTCTTCTTTTTCGCATTCACATCGACTGTAAACTCCGGGGGGAAGTTCTGCTTGTTTGTCCACTTCTGGACTCCAGCCCTGTTCCGGAACCAGAGTGTACATCTGTTTCACAGATCTGACTCATGTGTATGCAGACTGTTGGGTCCTTGCCTTAGCGGCAGATGTACTCTGACTTCAAAGGAAGTTCCCAATAAGTCGAATCTTAGGACATGCTTGCTGGGGAGGCAGTGGGTCTGATATTGTTTTCCCCACAACTAGACCCCGGAACCCACAGAGACAAGAACGGTTTTAGATTCCTGCTACCGACAGGTTAGATCAACTAAACCATCGTCGCAGGAATCGAACACTAGACCATAACACTGTCACTCCCTTAGCCACAGAGCATGAAGAAGAAGACAAGAGACAGAACAGGACACGGTACCTTGTTGATAAAATTGCCAGCATGTAGCACCAGACGGAGAAATTTCTTCAGTCCCTTGTTGTCGTAGAGAGACCTACAGACGTTGGCCAGGAGCAGCAGGTTGGACCTGACGCTGGAGAGTTGGCTCTGGAAGTCTGACTAGGGGAAGAGAAGAGTACGATTGTCACACACATGGTAGGTTAGCACAATACTTGTCACACACATGGGAGGTGAGTACAACACTTGTCACACAGATGGGAGGTGAGTACAACACTTGTCACAAACATTAGAGGTTAGCACAATACTTGTCACACACGTGGGAAGGAAGCACAACACTTGTCACACACATGGGAGGTTAGCACAATACTTGTCACACACATGGGAGGTTAGCACAATACTTGTCACACACATGGGAGGTTAGCACAATACTTGTCACACACATAGGAGGTTAGCACAATACTTGTCACAAACATGGGTGGTTAGCACAACATTTGTCACACACATGGGAGGTGAGTACAACACTTGTAACACACATGGGAGGTTAGCACAATACTTGTCACACACATGGGAGGTTAGCACAATACTTGTTACACACATGGGAGGTGCGCACAATACTTGTCACACACATGGGAGGTTAGCACAGTACTTGTTACACACACATTGAAGGTTAGCACAATACTTGTCACACACATTGAAGGTTAGCACAACACTTGTCACACACATGGGAGGTTAGCACAGTACTTGTTACACACACATTGAAGGTTAGCACAATACTTGTCACACACATGGAAGGGTAGCACAATACTTGTCACACACATGGGAGGTTAGCACAACACTTGTCACACACATGGGAGGTTAACACAATACTTGTCACACACATGGGAGGGTAGCACAGTACTTGTCACATACATGGGAGGTTAGCACAATACTTGTCACACACATGGGAGGTTAGCACAATACTTGTCACATACGTGGGAGGTTAGCACAATACTTGTCACATACGTGGGAGGTTAGCACAATACTTGTCACACACATGGGAGGGTAGCACAGTACTTGTCACATACATGGGAGGTTAGCACAATGTTTGTCACACACATGGGCGGGTAGCACAATACTTGTCACACACATGGGAGGTTAACACAAAGCTTGTCACACACATGGGAGGTTAGCACAATACTTGTCACACACATGGGAGGTTAGCACAATGTTTGTCACACACATGGGCGGGTAGCACAATACTTGTCACACACATGGGAGGTTAGCACAATGTTTGTCACACACATGGGCGGGTAGCACAATACTTGTCACACACATGGGAGGTTAGCACAATACTTGTCACACACATGGGAGGTTAGCACAATACTTGTCACACACATGGGAGGTTAGCACAGTACTTGTTACACACACATTGAAGGTTAGCACAATACTTGTCACACACATTGAAGGTTAGCACAACACTTGTCACACACATGGGAGGTTAGCACAGTACTTGTTACACACACATTGAAGGTTAGCACAATACTTGTCACACACATGGGAGGGTAGCACAATACTTGTCACACACATGGGAGGTTAGCACAACACTTGTCACACACATGGGAGGTTAACACAATACTTGTCACACACATGGGAGGGTAGCACAGTACTTGTCACATACATGGGAGGTTAGCACAATACTTGTCACACACATGGGAGGTTAGCACAATACTTGTCACATACGTGGGAGGTTAGCACAATACTTGTAACATACGTGGGAGGTTAGCACAATACTTGTCACACACATGGGAGGGTAGCACAGTACTTGTCACATACATGGGAGGTTAGCACAATACTTGTCACACACATGGGAGGTTAGCACAATACTTGTCACACACATGGGAGGGTAGCACAGTACTTGTCACATACATGGGAGGTTAGCACAATACTTGTCACACACATGGGAGGTTAACACAATACTTGTCACACACACATGGGAGGGTAACACAATACTTGTCACACACATGGGAGGGTAGCACAGTACTTGTCACATACATGGGAGGTTAGCACAATACTTGTCACACACATGGGAGGTTAGAACAATACTTGTCACACACATGGGAGGTTAGCACAATACTTGTCACACACATGGGAGGTTAGCACAATACTTGTCACACACATGGGAGGTTAGCACAGTACTTGTAACACACATGGGAGGTTAGCACAACACTTGTCACACACATGGGAGGTTAGCACAATACTTGTCACACACATGGGAGGTTAGCACAACACTTGTCACACACATGGGAGGTTAGCACGATACTTGTCACACACATGGGAGGTTAGCACAATACTTGTCACACACATGGGAGGGTAGCACAACACTTGTCACACACATGGGAGGGTAGCACAACACTTGTCACACACATGGGAGGTTAGCACAACACTTGTCACACACATGGGAGGGTAGCACAACACTTGTCACACACATTGAAGGTTAGCACAATACTTGTCACACACATGGGAGGTTAGCACAACACTTGTCACACACATGGGAGGTTAGCACAATACTTGTCACACACATGGTAGGTTAGCACAATACTTGTCACATACATGGGAGGTTAGCACAATACTTGTCGCACACATGGTAGGTTAGCACAATACTTGTCACACACATAGGAGGTTAGCACAATACTTGTCACACACATAGGAGGTTAGCACAATACTTGTCACACACATGGTAGGTTAGCACAATACTTGTCACACACATGGGAGGTTAGCACAGTACTTGTCACATACATAGGAGGTTAGCACAATACTTGTCACATACGTGGGAGGTTAGCACAATACTTGTCACACACATGGGAGGTTAGCACAGTACTTGTCACATACATAGGAGGTTAGCACAATACTTGTCACATACATGGGAGGTTAGCACAATACTTGTCACATGCATGGGAGGTTAGCACAATACTTGTCACATACATGGGAGGTTAGCACAATACTTGTAACACACATGGTAGGTTAGCACAATACTTGTCACATACATGGGAGGTTAGCACAATACTTGTCACACACATGGTAGGTTAGCACAATACTTGTCACACACATAGGAGGTTAGCACAATACTTGTCACACACATAGGAGGTTAGCACAATACTTGTCACACACATGGTAGGTTAGCACAATACTTGTCACACACATGGGAGGTTAGCACAGTACTTGTCACATACATAGGAGGTTAGGTCAATACTTGTCACATACGTGGGAGGTTAGCACAATACTTGTCACACACATGGGAGGTTAGCACAATACTTGTCACATACATGGGAGGTTAGCACAATACTTGTCACATACATGGGAGGTTAGCACAATACTTGTCACATACATGGGAGGTTAGCACAATACTTGTCACACACATGGGAGGTTAGCACAATACTTGTCACATACATGGGAGGTTAGCACAATACTTGTCACACACATGGGAGGTTAGCACAATACTTGTCACATACATGGGAGGTTAGCACAATACTTGTCACATACATGGGAGGTTAGCACAATACTTGTCACACACATGGGAGGTTAGCACAATACTTGTCACACACATGGGAGGTTAACACAACACTTGTCACACACATGGGAGGTTAGCACAATACTTGTCACACACATAGGAGTTTAGCACAATACTTGTCACACACATAGGAGGTTAGCACAATACTTGTCACATACATGGGAGGTTAGCACAATACTTGTCACACACATGGGAGGTTAACACAACACTTGTCACACACATGGGAGGTTAGCACAATACTTGTCCCACACATAGGAGGTTAGCACAATACTTGTCACACACATGGGAGGTTAGCACAATGTTTGTCACACACATGGGCGGGTAGCACAATACTTGTCACACACATGGGAGGTTAGCACAATGTTTGTCACACACATGGGCGGGTAGCACAATACTTGTCACACACATGGGAGGTTAGCACAATACTTGTCACACACATGGGAGGTTAGCACAATACTTGTCACACACATGGGAGTTTAGCACAATACTTGTCACACACATAGTAGGTGAGTACAACATTTGTCGCACACATGGGAGGTGAGTACAACACTTGTAACACACATGGAAGGTTAGCACAATGTTTGTCACACACATGGGAGGTTAGCACAATGTTTGTCACACACATGGGAGGTTAGCACAATGTTTGTCACACACATGGGAGGTTAGTACAATACTTGTCACACACATGGGAGGTGAGTACAATACTTGTCACACACATGGGAGGTTAGCACAATGTTTGTCACACACATGGGAGGTTAGTACAATACTTGTCACACACATGGGAGGTTAGCACAATACTTGTCACACACATGGGGGGTTAGCACAATACTTGTCACACACATGGGAGGTTAGTACAATACTTGTCACACACATGGGAGGTTAACACAATACTTGTCACACACATGGGAGGTTAGCACAGTACTTGTCACACACATGGGAGGTTAGCACAATACTTGTCATACACATGGGAGGTTAACACAATACTTGTCACACACATGTGAGTTGAGTACAATAATTGTGGCACACATGGAAGGTAATTACAACACTTGTCACACACATGCATGGTACTTGTCATACACGAGCGGGAAACTGGGATGGGCCGGGGGGGGGGATGTAGCACGGGTGGGGGGGGGGGAGTAGCACAAACCATTTCACATTAGTACAAATGTTCTCGCACACTTGAGGCCACCTCTACGAAGGCAGAAACAAGACCATGAAGATACATTGGCTATAAAATCACATACGACTAGAGAACTGGCCAGAGAAAGATCGATTTTCAGGTGTCCTGTGACGAGAGCGAGGTTCTGTAAAGGAGCTGCTGACGGGCGCGGATAAGGGTGATCCAGCATTACCTAGTACTGTCGCAGACAACAGCTCATATTCTCGAGTATGACAGGTATGCTCAATGACTTCTTCTTCTTCTTCTTCTTCTTTTATATGTGTTACTATCTGTTGTTTGACAATAGGCGTCGCAGTTTATCAGAGATAAGTTGCCCAGCTAGGGCGCGCTTAGTAGCTCGGTATGCTGGGATGCCGTGAAGCCTTAGACTGTCAGTAGCACCCTCATACCATCTTCTTCTAGGTCTGCCCCTGCATCTGAGTGTTTATATTTTTATGTGACTGACTACCTGATGTCTGGATATCCATAGAAATGAGAACACACATTCTGAATGTGAATCCAACAAGACACACTCTCAGATAATCATCATCATCATCATTACCATCATCGCCCTCGTAGTCATCATCATCCTATTGCGCTAGCATATGTAACACAGAGGTCGCAGTCTAGTTCTCTATTCTGGTCTATACTGTGCAGTTTTCCCCCATATCATAGCTACAGTTGAGCCCTGCATGTCTGACCTCTCTCAACAGCAGCCAGAATTGCACATGAGGATGATGGTAAGCATGAGAAGGGGATAATGAGGAGAAAGAGGGGATGGATTTATGATAAGGACGATAGTGAGGATGATGATGAGGACGAGAAGGATGATGAGGATAATGACAATGATGAGGAGAAGAAGAATGATGTTGAGAAGTAAAAGGAGGAAGAGATTTGGGAGTGATTCTATTGAGGGGGGGTTTGG